GTGGAAAATTTTGTTTAGCACTCAAAACGTATGCGATGGTATTCGGAATTATATTTTCCTAAGCAGTTAAAACCAAAATCTGTGAACTGAAGTTTCAGTGGCGCTTTTAGCAATAAAAAAAATTGTGATTTCTGGCGTTTCAGTATACATTTCTTTCATACTCATCGAATGTGTATCAAAACCCGGAGACTACTCATTTACCAACCGGATGTCTTATTGCATCGATCGTCATCAAATGCATTTAAGCTATAATGAAATGAAATGAACAGTAGTAGATAGTATTTGCTTACGTAACGAAAAATTCGTCCGGTTATTCGACGAAAACACTGCACTGCAAAAAGAGACAATTTCGACTAAAGGAACAATAGCACTACGAACATAAATAAAACAACACACTCACGCGGAAATAAATACACTTACTTTCCCGCGCAACAACTTCTTCGTGTCTGTTTTCCGCGAAAATCACTGTCGAAATTACGGTAATCATTGAAGCACGATGGAAAAAAACACAACAAATAAGAAGGAGGCGAAAAGTGACAGGAAGAGGGGCCTTGTCGTCATCATCACCACCGACAGCCGCAGGAATGCGTGTCACTCGTGGGCTGGATGGACTCGGGAAGATCGTCGCCGTCGTCGTCGACGATGCCGATGACGACGTCGACGACGTCGACCATCAGCCATAGAGAGAGTCAGAGAGGACCATCAAGAGGGCAAGAAGCTCGTCATCAGTGATCAACCTCGGGCTTCGGGTTAATTAGTCGTTTTTCCGCTTTCCCTTGTTGCTGCTGTGGACCAGTATTCTTCCGAGCTGTTCTTGGTGCCTCTGCTTGATGCTGGGCTCTTCCGAAACTTTTTTCAATTTTTCATAACCAAAATGTTTCGAGAAAACATTTTTGCTACGAAATCGTGGAGAGCCAGGATCGTGTGAGACCCCCACAGGTGGACACCTTGAGCTGCGGACAATTCGACATGGGGACACTTATTTTATCATAAAAAATTTATTAAAAAAAGACCCGACATGAGGACACTGACTCAACTTAGAGATATTTTGTTATAAATAGCAAATGAGTTTCAGGTAAAATTACAAGAAACAGATATTTGAAACCCCACAATTGATGTAAGAAAAGTTCTTGGGCATTTCTATCACCAATTTACCAGCATCCATTTAGCTAATTTTAAAAAAATTACCTCCAGCAGAGAGGGACTTCCTTCTCTCTTTTTCACTTGAATATCATTTTTACAAGAATGCCAACATTTTTATATACTGTACAGATGTGTCAGTATTCAAATGCCCATATTGTGTTGAAATATATTGATTGGAATCAGTTATTTAAATTGGGAGAAAATTTGTATTTTCATGGAATTATGGTAAGTATTTTGTACATAAAACACCAATTAAAATTATATAATGTAAGTCTAAGGGAAAATGAGACTCAATTTTGGGACATTTTGACTTAGGGACACTCTTCATGCACCAATTACGTCCGCATCTTTGGGTCTCACAGTTATACGACTTTTCTCCCAAAAGACTTTTTCTAAATTGCTCAATCAACCAATGATTACCAGGGAACCAGCTGAACACCTTATTGCGCTTTAAATTTTACTCAGTAATTGCCTTGCAATTGCACTGGGATTTTCGTTGCAAAAAAATATGCCAATAATCTAATATCCATTCATTTGTATGTACTGCAAGTATACGTACAGTATTACATTTTATTTTGAATGGTTGTTTTGAACCTTATTGTTAATGCTCAAAAGCAGCAAATTAAGCTTATTCATTTACCAAATGACGAGCAAACATAAAACAAACGCATTTATTCAGCTTTAACAATAATTTGCTGAATCAAGAAGTCATGCAACAAAGCCGTGAACTGGCAAAAAAAAAAACACGCATGCTGGTCGATTTCTCTGCAACGAAATTCAAGAGCCCAAAAAAATCGTTGTAAAGAGAATTCCGTTGTAGGGAAACTCTCTAAAATTTGAAGGGAATGGTACACGAGAATAAAAAAAAATTGGAGAAAATCAATTCATATACTATAGTTTGCAATAGAGAATCCACCTGCTGTATTATTTTGTAGGAAAATTCAAGATTTCATCTTGCGGGATCCAATTCGACAGTCGACAAGCATATTAATTACATTACTTTTTCCAAATCGGAATCCTCTTCCAGATATCACGAGGTCTTACGATTAGATGGCATCTCGGATTACAACACACCGTCGGACGAATTTGACTTTGAGTTTGAAGGAAACAAATGTTGTACAAGCAACCATTTACAGATCACAATTACAATATTATGCTTGAGGAAAAATTCCGAAGTGTTCGTGACGCTTGATACAAGTAACTTGACAGTTCAATCGAGGCTGTAGAATAATCTGATTCTTGAGAGATTGAGTTCTTTGTTAATACTGCATGTATTCTATAATGATATGGCTGCAATAAATATTGAAACACGTATCAGATATTTTGGCACCGTATATAAACTGGAATGCGCACTTGCATTCTTGACATTTCATATCTTACGGCATTTTATATTTTGTTGCGTCTGGGATTTGCAAGTCTGACCAACAACAAGCTGTACTTCTGATAAAAATGGTCAGAATTAAATTTGAATGCCAATGTCCTGTTAGCTTTAAGTAAAGGGAACATTAGCACAAGAATCTTGATTTATTTCAGGCATATATGCAGAAATTAGCTGTGAACAGGATATTTTAGGGCTTATGTGATTCTACAAAAAGTGAAATACATTATGGAAAATTTGTGTGCATTAATATTTATTTATGATTTTCAATTTATAGTTTTTTTCACACATCAGGAGCTTTGTAATCAAGACATCTCTAACCTGGCTCACGTTCAGACATACCCCCAGCAAATAATTTGGGCATTTCAAAATGCGTTTTATACGCATTTCTAGCCAAAAATGCTACACATTTCAAACCTCTCCATGTTACGCCTACTCGGGATTGTAGTTAATGCATACCTTATAGGCATTTCAAAACGCCCTCTAGTTACTCATTAAAAACGCATTCTGAACGCATCTCAGAAAAAACTTTCAGTACAGCAACAAAGAAAAAAAAGAAAGGCGTTTCAGAAGAAGCTGGGCATAACAGTGATGCATAACAAACGCATTTTTTAATGCGTTACTGTTATGCGCAGCAATACCTGTAACAAATTATTTGCTGGGCCCCCTAAGGTATGTAACTGTAAGGTAAATAGTGTAATTGTAAGGTAAACCTTACAGTTACGCATAACTTTTATGCGTAACAGTTATGCGTAACAGTTATGCATAACAAATGCATTATGTAATGTGTAGCTGTTACACCCAGCCCTTCCCATAACAAATTATTTGCTGGGAATAGATTAAAGGTGTCACGGTTGAGACTGTTTTTGCACTTGTATAAGGACTAATTATATGGTTTATAAACATTACCATACATTTGAGAAATATTTAAAAATAAGTGTGACCCGCCCCTGATATTCAGAGCTGAAATATCAATAAAAAGATGAAGGTTATTACCGTATATGCACTTATGCAGTCAAAAGAAAATTTTCCAATTATACCCTTCACATACATTTTATTATTGTGTCCAAATACCTAATGCTTCTATAGTGTTTTTTTTCTTGTTACCTTGATTCGTACACTACCTTGGTATGTACAATATAATTTTTTAGTGCATCTCTTTTCGTCGCAAAAAATCTTTCACTGTTCTCGCGCTAATTTTTTTTTTTTGCACATCGGATTGCAACAACAAAAATCCCCGGAACGGAGAACGATGAACATCCTTCGGTGATTTTCTTTGAAACGACGCAGAAAACTCGTTTGAAAAACAGAGAATGAAATTGGATGATCGAAATAGTTTCTTGTTTGAACAGTAATAATAAATGGTTCTATAGTCTCCATATATAGGAATCATAGTAGGTCACGTATGATTGTATTTTTTTCTAAATTCATTTAGTTATGTGACATTTTTGCTGTGTGAAACAGAATTTAACTATTATAGGAGGTGCCCCAGATACTGGCGATGGAGTCTGAAAGTGGATTCTGATGTAATGAACAATGCCCTTTCTGTTGATATCTTCCATTTAAGTACAGTGGCTTTGGGCTGAAGCAATATATGAGTTTACATCAGGGTTGATCTAAACTTCAAGATTTTAATTTTTGAAGCATGAGTTGTTGATTGTGAATGATCTGTAATAAGGTTAAATTTTTGTTTTAAAAAGGTTCCTGTTGAGCTTGTAACCAGAAATTTTCCCGAATATTTTTCGAACAGAAGTATCATATTCGACCTTGGTTGATGGGCTGCTGTCTGGTAGTGTCGCTCAAAAATGCAGTTCTTGACTTCTTTTTTTTTCAAAATAAAGAGGTGACACTGGTTATCCTCTCCAAGTTTATAGCTCAATTTTTGGCCGTGGATTACACATCAGGCTTGATTTCCACATCAAAGGTAAATCAAGTTTTGAACTGATGAATCGCCTAAAGGTTTTTGTGCTGGGGCTTGGAAATCCCATGAAACTCAGAAGGAAGTGAGAATTTTTATTTACTAATGAACGCATAGAATGCAGAATTCCAAGCGGATATACATTGCAAAGTACTTCTCAGCACACTTTTGTGATTGCTACGCACGATTTTATAGAGAACATGTGGCATCAGAGAAAACATTTTACGATTTAAATATTTTAAAAGGGAAGAAATCAATTGAATGTCGTACTTGCAAGACAAAAAAAAATCATGCGTTTCGTCTCTCGTATCGGCGCAAAAGTTCAAAAGTTAGTTGAATTTCCATCTTCACCTTTGTGAGAGCTTCGAAATCACAATGAAGCTGTTCAAGAAAAACTTGGTTGCGTAGAAGAAATCGAAAGCTGGTATTTAATTCGTTCCCATTCAACAAACATCAGTAATAAATTTTGGTAATACTGATATAAATGATCACGATTCTCCGTCATGTTGTCGATGTACTTTACTTCCCGATTTGAACGTGGCTCATTGTATCAAATAAGTGTCAGCATCTGGTTTCACCTGAAATAGGAAGAAGCAATGACAAATATAATATCTTCAAAAATATATACCGATATAACGAATGTGTGAAGCACTGCAAGTCACCTTTCGTCCAACCAACAGTTTCCCCCGTCCTCGCGTTTTCTGCGACAAGGTAATCGTGCAAAGGTTTAAAGTATTCCAACAGAGGTCGCACGTCCATGTCTGCAACCCCAGTCATGTCTTCCAAAGTGTCCTCCCAGGCTTCGGAATATCCTGCTTTCAAGAGGGTCCTGAATCATGTTTAAAAGTAAATGCGGGATTTCAATCATCTGCTTTTTCTTTTTGACGACTTCCATCAATAAAAAATGTCATTTTAGAATTTCTTGTAAGATTCTATAAAATACTGTACCTAAATTTCTCTCCAGCTTCAGCATTTCCGTAAATGCTGCATTTGTGTAGAGGAATGGTGGGGTACTTTCCAGCAGCTTCACATAACGCCTTGTGAAACTGGAACTCGAGAATCTTGCTGAATTGGTACCTGAATATGTTAACCTTGATTAATTCAGCAGTCCTCGTGGAAATATCGGATGTCATCAGCACTGATACATAAAGGATTAAAATAATATCTAACTGGACTGTACTTGTTTTCGGTGGATGTTTGCTGCAGACTTGAAATAATAAATTGTAATACATTTTGTGAGATCATGAATGTGAGGTTGGGCTTTTGGAAGACTGTTGGGAAAAGGAAAGATTCTGCATTATTTTGTTCAAGATAACTGCATTACATTTCAACCCTTGGGCAGTGGTCCTGGGATTTATCTGCGACATTTTTTGCCACAAGGATTAAAGAAGAACCAGAGAACAAGAATTTTTGGAAACGTCAAAATTGGGGAAAACCATGAAGTTTTCTTTTTCTATTCCAGCAGAAAAATTTCATCTCAAATAGAAAAAAAAGTTACTGCTGGCAATGCTGAGTGGTAATTTTTCCTCATTCCTGCCATGATAGGATTACCATTGAGGGATTTTCAGAACAATGGCTTTCCCCTTCCGGAATTTTTTCCAACTTTGGCGACTTAGAGCAAAAACTGGTTTTCAGTGACCTTCGGTCTAACCAAAATGCACAAGCTTCTTGCCAAAAAACAATGGAAAAAGACCGTCCGCTGCCCAAGAGTTAAGTCAGCAGGGAGTTTATACCGGGGTTGTGAATCACAAATCATCAAAACATTGGTTATAAATTGAATATATTTGTAGTGGGCCAAAGTCAAAGTTTGGAAAATGCATTCATAGGCAAAGGAAGTTCTGTACTGTACAGCAATGTATAATTTGGAGAAATTATGAAATTGAAAGGAAATAACCTGATTTATTTTTTGGAATTTCAGAAACACCTTCTCATGAAAAATTATCATTCTTCCTATGAAGACAATTTAGTGACTCGAAAAGTGGCAATAGTTGAATCAGTAACTGAACTGAGCTATAGATCTACCTGAGCAAAAGAACCAAGTGAAGTCTCTTAAAACTAGCCAGTGAATTACTGTACTATGCTGTATATCAAGAAACCGAATAAAAACCAAATAACTGAGAATTAACCCGCCACTCAGCGAGGAGTTGAGTCACTTAACATGCAAAACGTCTGATGGCTAACCATTAACGTTATCCCTTTGTACAGATCAGGACCCAACATGTAAAGTTCATTGCCCTTGGCCTTCAAAAATGTGGTTTGAGCATCAATATTGCCCTTGTATGCCTGAAAAACTATAAAGTACTCACCTGAGGAATGGCAGGTCAGCAACAACATGCCACTTTGAGCCTGGGTCAAAGTCCTCTTCACTTCTCTTTGAAGGGGCTTTTACTCCTTCAAACTTCTCCCTGCATAAAGAGGATTAATAAATAAGTTCAATTTTTGTTGCACACAGAAGCATAGAAGATATCAATCCATGTCCAATTAGTATACTGTAAACAAACCTAAGATACTGCGAATAAACCTCTCATGATATACAAGAATTCATTTCTTCGCACTAAACTTGAATTTTTATCATTCCAATGATCTTCCACGTTTGATTAATTTTGAAGGGGCCCTATTTATTTTCCTGGAATTCAATTTTTTTATTTTAGAATGGAGGCAGCCTAAAAAATACTTTTCTTTGGTATCCACTCTAAAAATATTCAGCAGAGCATAAATTGTAGAAAGATTTAAAAAAACTTCATTCAATCTTCTGAGAGTTGGAAACATTTTTGGTTTTTGGTGTAGACCAGAAGGTAGAAAGCCTCAGAATATAAAATTAAACATGTAAGCAGTAAAGTATTTTCTTTTGCAATGTTCATTTCGTGATGAAATCTCATGATATGTTTCATTCGTCCCTATTGTTTTCCAACAACGAAATATTCTCACCGCCCGTTTTAAACGGAAGAAAAAAAAGAGGCAGCATTCTTTTAGGAAGAATATAGGATATTTTGTCCCATTAAAAAAATTCAATTCGAATTGTTCTGAAAAATAGAAAAATATACTGTTAACCATGGAAAAATTACAAAAATTTCTATTTGGATTTCAAAGAGACATGCAGAGCCCATACGCAGAAACTTCAACAAAATGAACCTTCGCCATTTAAATATCACAATAATTTTGAAATCTCCTGGCGATTTCTTTTTTTCTTATTTTGCTGACGGAAGATTCTCACCTCAGCTCCCACCAGCGGCAATTGAGCTGCTCAGACGAGTAAGTCTTGGACATGACATCGTGTCTCCACTTGTACATGACATAGGAGAAGGCAACCAGTGGCAACTTTTTGAGCGCGATTTCCATGAGGAAGTTGAGGCTTTTTTGCTCATCATTATCCAACAAGTCCTTGGGGTCAACGAGACCCAACCGCTCAAGGTGTTCAGGGGTCAGCAGAGACAAGACCATTGTGTCTCCAACAGCTTCATGGAAAGCTAAGTAGAAAACCAATATTTTTCTCAATTGAATAAGGTCTGCTGATACCGTGATTTTTTAAACAAAATTCTCATGGACAAAATTCAAATCTCAACAGATATGAGTAGTAGAGTCAGAGGTTCTTGGACTGGAAATTTGATGAATGACGAAAATGTTTATGAAATTTTGTGAAATCATTCCATTCATTGTATCATAATTTGAACATATTGTCCAACAGAATACACACTTGATCTTTTCTTAGCGAATAAAATCGACAATGGACGTACTGAAAAAGTGACTGTGTTATCGCATGTTAACTCAGTGCAGTGACCACAGTTGAAGTATTACATTTTATAACGCAATTTTATTTTCCACTCGTATAGATTTCAACATCTTACAATACTAAGAAATACTCCTAGAAGATTTATAGTGTGCTGTTTTGATGCAAGTATACAGTGTCGAACACACCAATTTTCTCTTTGAGTCACACACTATAAAGAATGGGAAAAATGGAATGAATTGTGAAAAATATAAAAAACGAGGATTTCACCTGGTTTTGCCCCCTGGCGGAACACAAATGGCTGACCACTGTACTCCATATAATACTGAATGTGGCCAACTTCGTGGGTCACGATGAGCAGATCCTTGAAGGAAACTTCAGTGCACATCTTGATCCTACGCGAATTTCAAAACGAAAGTAAAAATTAAGATACCGTATCTATAGGCAATAATGTTCATTACCAAATTCCAGTGCCGCACGCGAAGCTGCGGTATTTATTGAAATTAACAAATTTATTGTTATAAAACGTCTCAATATGTTTTGTGCATGGAAAAATGAAACAAATTTCTGCTCGTGATGTTTCAAGACCAAAATAAATTTTCGCAACGCACTTTGATTCTTGCTGAAAGTCAAAAAATTTTTCAGGACGCTTCCTCGATTTTCTGAAATGTTTGCAAATTTTACATTAGTCTAACCCACAGGAATCACACTTCTATAAAAACCGCTTCATTTATTTTTGGCAGAATTAGTGCTCAAGTTAGCACTACCTCAAATAAATTTGACTGAATCTTACCAAAAAAGACAAGAAAAAGACAAATGGCAAGCATCAGCAGTTCAGCACTGCTGAGGTGGAGCTAATCCTGGTCTGGCATAAGTTTACGTTTAGTACATCAATGCATAAATTAAGATGGCTGAGCAATAACTTTACCCATTTGTCTGAAGTGAACCAAACGTCATGGCTCTCATATTGGCCAATATGATAGCGTAAAAGAATTGACCAAAGTTTATCAAAATTCGAACATCTTGAAAGACTAAATGCTTTACTGACGAATTCATTCTTTATTGTGCTTAAGAATGTCATTTGGCTGTTTGTTAATTTTTTTTATATTGTCACTTGATTGACAAGATGGTTACCTCGGGTAAAAGCACCATTATTCCCAATTATTCTTTCAAAGAGAAAAATGGATGTTTCCATGAATGTATATGCAGGTGATTTCCGTGGGTCAGGCAGAATTTTGCTGATTTCTTCCTGGCTCACAATTGGCCATGGCCAATTGTAAGCTTTTCAATTTTCTTTCCCTGCAGGAAAAAAAAATTGAAAAGCTCATGTCCACTTGCTTATAGCCTTCATTCAAGTGAGGCTCAGTACTGAAGCTTTGCCAAGCAGGATTTAATGCTAAATTTTCCGCAGGATTATTTAAAAAAAAAACAGACTTTTTCCTGCTTTGAGCCTTGATTCAAAGGTAAAATTATTTCTAGTGATCATGGGCAAAAAATGTTGCACAAAAATCCTGATTTTGGTGCACAAGGGTTAATAAAGGCTTTTTATAAGTGTAAATTTTGGAAAAGGAACACAATTTATCCACACCTGAAGTCCTGAGTATCACAAAAGTCCCAAGCGGACGGCTGGCACATGACTCGTCTCCCGTCAGCTGGTTTCTTCAGCATGGAAAGTTTCCAGAAGGACTCCGGCAAGGAAGAAAAGTTCAGGGATACGAAGAAATCCTCAGCAACTCGATACATCTTCTCCACAGTGTAATTCTTTTCCAAAAAATAAAAATAAAATCACAGCCGTATGAAGAAAAAATACGAGAACCAAAACGAAAATGATGTTTTTTTTTTACCTGAGCTCGCATTTTCTTGGCAAACGTTTGTTTGGGTTTTTCCGGGAATGGCATTAAAAGTTCGCTGATGCTCATCCAGTCTTGTCCCCACATGTTTCCTGGCGAAAAAAATTCAGGTTGAGACACCTTTCATCGTATACTTATGATGACTAAATTTCAATGTATGATTTGTCAAATACCTTCCGAAAGAGGTATATTTGAATGACTTCTGAAAATTAAATAATAATGTCTTGAGAATTTTGATAGTTAACAAATTCCCTAAACATCCTCTGCTTCCCTTATTCCTACATTATCCTTCGTTGACAATAAATTTTAAGCTTTCCAAAATGCGATGACATTTAAAAATGGAAAAAGAAATGTGATAACCGCCAATGCATCAACGTAAGGATTCAACAGCTGCCCGAACAAACATTTTGCTAATTCCATAATTTTGTTGATTTGCCGTACATCTCAAATTTAAAAACTTGAATTTAAAGAAAAATGCATCCCAGACTAAGACGCACATTCACTTTTGAGTTTTGAATATCAAGACATCGCAATCTTGAAAAAATAAATAACATCAAAAATAACCAGAATATTCATGGCCTATTTTGAAGTAGAATTTACCTTTTCTTGAATTTCGTTCATGTTTTGCTGCTGCACTTCTCGTAAATAAAGTAATCTTTGAAAAAAATAAAGAGTATCTATACTTCTATAGTGTGTTTGTTTCAGACGTACAAAATAATCAGAAGACTGCCGTAGGACTACAGTTTTGTCCATCATTGCTATCGAAACACGACTTTCTAGAATTTTTTGAGAAATTAAAAATCCATTTTTTAAAAAAAGAGGCTCACCGAGGAGATGAATAGGGATTTGGGAATGCTTCGGAATAAGCTTTTCGCCATAAAAATCCCTCAGTCTTTTGCGGACAAAAGCATGAAGTTGTTGGTAAAGTGGACTTATTTGTTCCAGCAACAACAAAGCCTGACCTGCCGAAAAAAAAATTCCAATTTCCAGACAAAATTAGTAACTTCTTCATCATTATACCGCTTCTCACATTATACTTCCAACAAAGGAAAATGGTCAATTTTATTGACTATACAGTATTCATACGCTCCGTTTCTTTCTCTTGCTTTATATTTTTCCTTACGCCGAGAAAATATTTCCCCCCAGACATTCATAATTTCGGCAGAACGGAAAAAAAATTCTTCGATTCTTCAATAATAAAACTGAAAAAAACTTGCGGTTTTCAAGACTGCTCTTGTCGCTGGCTTGAAGGAATTGCTGGTAGAGTGGCCTCAGTTTCCGGCCTGTGGCTCTTCGCCATTCTTCCCAAAACCACAAGAGCTCCTCGGGGTCTCTCGATAATCGCATCCGACGAGACACGTCTAAAGTATACAGTAATTAAGTGATTAACTCATGGAAGAATTTCTTCATGCTCGTTGAAGAATATATTGTACATCACTTCTCTTGACATGCGAAGAAAATAGGTAAATTCGCACCAAGTAAGTTAACTGTACTTTATTACATCGGGCCCCCACGCATATACCGAAATGAAATCGGTTCTGGATTAGTTGAGCTATTATTATAGGAATTTTCGTAATGTGAATAAACGCATTTTAATCATAAAATTAGATCGTACATCATTTAATTTATTCTTGAAGTCTTCAGGAAATAATAACGACCATGATAAAATTTTGGTATTTTTTTCACTGAAAAATTGTGAATTTGAAAATGATTTGTATGAGATTTAAGTTATCCTGATCACTACTAGCTATCTGACCCATATGCATTGCACGCATTTGGAAAACAAGAATAATATTCAAAGTCACACGCTTATTATTCTCTCTTCGGATTTTCATAAATTTATGGAAAAAATCACAAAGTTTACATAAAAATTTCATACTATTTCTGATTTTTGAGCCCAATTGAATGTGTCCTCACGTGAAACAATTTTAATGGGTGAATCTCTCTTCCCCCTTGGGAATTTTCGTTGCGCGAATATTTTCCGCTGAAAAGGGAACTCACTGTGTCGTTCATTCTGCATATTATATTACTTTATTTTTTGAAATGGGAAGGTTTTCCTCAATTCGTACCTGGTTTCAGCGTGAGGCCACATCGACCTTTATCCTTGAAATCACAGATGGTTGCCGTGCTGTAGATGTCTTCCATCCTGGACTTGAGTTCATTGGCCTTAATTAAACAGTAATCAAAAGAAAGTTCAAAAGGTACGTCACAGTAAATGAACAAGTTCACTTTCTCTTCTTGGATACAAAAGGAGCAAGAGTTCATGGCTATCCATGCACAATTTTGAATCAAGCAATATATTTTATAGTCATTCCTACAATTTTCGGATCTTTATTTTCAGAAATTTCGAATAAGAATTATTCACATTCGAGTTGAAGCATTTTATTCAGAACATAATGATTAATCTAAAGTTTAAACATTGGTTATGCAGTTAAAATCCCTCATCCTGCTTTACGTACAATGTCCTGAGAGCTTGGAAAAAAAAATCGGCAACAGGACGCGTGAATGAACGGCGTTGATTGGAATATTCATCGTCATTCGAAAAAAAATTACTTCAATTGCACGTCCTAAAAGTGATTTAAAAATTTTCGTACCTTGAGAGTATTCGCAGGAACTTCTGAAGGTTGCGGACCAATGCGTCGCAGAGCCCTAAAAATATTGGACAAGTCGGGATCCGAAATTCGATCCGCGTTGAACAAGGACCCAGCTTCTGCCATTTCGGCACGAACTTGCTCAAAATCTGCAGCTGCTTGTACCTGATGCCACGCAATAAAAAAAAAATTGGTTCGGCAATTTTCGAAAGTATATAGCAGGGCAACCACGAAATTGATATTTGCGCAGGTCATGATTGCACACGCCATCAATATATATAAAACCGCGAGTTATAGGTAGTGTCTAATTTTCAAAATTCGCGTAATTGGTACCTATTTTTGGTACCATCATTAAATTTCCAACTGAAATTTGTGAATACGAAAGTGAATTACACCATGGACATTTTGCGCAATAAGCTATCAAATGGGCAATAGTAATACACGTTGAAATTGTTATATACATTTAGGTTTATGGTGGCTATCGCAAGTTCTGAACAACTTGATTGATATTTTCGAAAGCCATCACCACACAACAGCCATCAAACCATAACCTCAAAATCTTGCATAATTTTTCAGTACCTGTATACCTAAAATTGGTCTGATTTTCCATTGCGCAAAAATCAACAACAACAAAAACAGCAGCTCAGCGCAAGTAATTGATCGTGAAATCACATTTAAAAATAGCAATATTCCATTAAATGTGATCTACTCTGCTGGGGAAATATACTCAAGTTGAGACTACCAAAATGAATGCCAGAGAAAATTAGCTACACCAGAAAAAAGTTAGTAATTTATTGTGCAATTTACACTGAGGAGTATAATTAATGCAGATAATGTTATCTAGACAGGAAAGATACAAAATTTATGACTGTCAAATCAAATATACCAGGGAAAATTGGCCACAAGAAAATATTGGAAAATTGATGGTATAATTAACATTTAGAAATACTGTACTGATGTGGCAACAAAGCAGAAAATGTGATCTGCAGGAAACTTATTCACAAATTGTGGCTAATGAATCCAATGCCAGAGAAGATATGCACCAAAATCAAGAAAAATTGGGTATTTGCTTATGCACTTCACATTTAGAGACAGAAATGATCCAGAAATTAATATCCGTATTGAAAATATACGCTAATTTTGCCTGTATGTCACATCAAAATCCAGGAAAAATTGGCATAACAAGAAAATTTTTCAAAATTTTAGATACAGCTGTGAAATTGATTTTGCCCAGTTGGACAAGATATTGAAAATTTAAATCATGATCGGAGCTGACGTAAAACAACTCGAGAAAATGTCAAAATTGCTGCAATAAACCTCTGATTTCTTTTTTTAATTTAAAAATTCCACCACTACGTCATCAGCAATTTGTTTCTAGCCCAAACAGGTTTCGTTTTGAAGGGATTTCAAAAAATAAATATGCAGCGCACTCACTGCCCGAAGTCGAGTCTCCTCCGTGATGTTCGTGGCAAAATCCCAACGAGCTTTTTTAAAATCATTGCAAGCATCAGTCAAATGCGCATCAATAAGCTCGTACAACCTCGCAGCCGCCAAATCCGCCATCTTCTCTCTTCCGCCGCCGCCACCGCCACCAAATGCGTCCAAATCCCAACCGCCGCCGCCGCCATCGGGGAAGAGCCAGTATAGCCCCGCGGCGCCGGAAAACAGCAGTAATACGATGAGTCCAAAACTCACTGCCACTCGCGTTTTCAATGTGGTTGTTGCGGTTGCGGTTGCAAAAAGGGTCATCAGACGTCGCATTATTCTTCCTCTAAGCCAGGGGTGTTGTTGGGTCACTTTGCAGCAACCCAGAGTCGAGAGGGTGTTGAGAAAACGAGACGACGGGGATCGACGGGTTGATGAGTATCGGGGTTTCCCGCGTTTCCCGCCGGTAGATGACGCCTCTTCCGCAGGCTGTATCCACGACGGCAAAGTGGCGGAGTTCAGTCCCGTCATGTCGTCCGAAGATTCTCCTCTAAATAAATATTATAAGCCATCATCATTTATTCTTTTTATTTGCTGGGTGGTGTAGAAAGCCTGTGTGTGTGTGGAGGGGGGGGGGGGTTAACCTTGTGAACACTGACAAGCAACAAATGAAGATTGAATGCCCAACAAACACTTAAAAACCATCATTCAAATCCATCCCCAGCAAAAGTGGTAGTAATATAGTCAACCCCCTTCTAATGGACTTGATTTGTGCAAGGGACAAGTCTGTTAGACAAAAAGTCCTTTACATGAATTCAATTATATAAAAAATTAAAAATTTCAATTTTCAACACAAATTTTAAACCAAAAGAAGTCTGTTTGGTGGATTTTGTCTGTTGGGCAGGAGGAAAAACTGCTTGCAGAGCTGGTCTGTTTGGCAAAAATCCCTTACACGAGAGGTCTGTTAGGTGGGGGGCCACTGTACTGTGATGGAATAATTTGGTACGCTACCGTGCCTGTTCTCCATACACGGGTACAATAAACACCTGCAGTACGGAATTTGATTACTTTCAGGAATTTACAGGAATGTTCCAGAATGTTCAACCTGCAAAAGATTGACGCCGCCATTTTGATTAAACCACAGTCAGTCTAACTCAAGATCTCATCAAAGTCAGTTGAATTTGTGTGTTATTGAATTTGTGTGATTATTCTTATTTTTGGGGTTAAAAACAAAATACACTTTATCTTTTTCTTTGGGATCTTGAAAACAAGATCCCCAGCAGAACCCCACAGCTGATTACAGTGTTTCATTTCGAATTCTGCGCCCTTTTGTATCAGTTTGGGTACAAATACCATGAGTAGCAAACAATTAGCACTCATTATTTGCTGGGCAGTAATTAGTCCAAAGTATCTATAAATTTTCCCATTGCTGGAATGATGATATTGCATGAAGTTCAGCAGATGAACTGCAGTCTTTTCCAACATCTTTTGGCTGAATGAAGTTCAGGTAAAGTAACTGTCACATGGGAATCAAGCTTCTCTGAGTTATCAAGTTTAGTGGCAGCCCCACATTGTTAGTTCAAACCTTTCTAAAGCAAAAACATCCTCATTTAAATTGTTTTACCTTGTCCAGCATAACTGAATTCCCTCAAGAACAGTACATCCTAAAGATTGTAAAGGGGTTTATCCTTCAAACCTCCATAAAACTCAAATTGCTTGAGGTCTTCAGGCAATTAGAAGTGGTACCTTGCAATTTCACCTCCCACAATTTGGTCATCACACAATTTGATGGTAGAATTTGCTGGGAGGGCACCTTGCAATATGACCTATAAGCTCTCCGATTCAACCCACAGCAATGGGCAAAAATTTCAAATAGGATTTAGAAAACATTGCATTTGACATTGCTTTGCAATTCAACTGCTTTTCAATTCAACCCAAGTCCAGCAATGAATTAGGGTAAAATTGCAAGGCACCACCAATATTCTCATGGGGAACCATATGGAAAGGAAACAGCAATTAACATACCACGTACTATAGATTTTTTTATAAATAAAGTATAGGTGAGTTATTGGAAAAATGTGACATTGGTGGTTCGAAATTCAGAAGCATATATGTCAACTCATTCATCCTGAATTTAAAATAAAAAGCCCACCAATTTGACTTCCTGTAATTTATCCAAAGCTTTTTTTTCGCTTATCCAAAATATAGCCATTTATTCTAGTTTGAAGACTCACTACTTCAATTGCCAAGTCAAACCTGATTGAGTCAAGCACCTCGTCCTTATGTCAATTTTACCGTTCCTTCTTCAATGAAGCAATTGAAATTCAGCTTCAAAGAAACATTTCATTACCAAAAGTGCTCCAGACAATCTCACCACTGTTGATGCTACAGAAGAGCCTTCAATCCGGAAAACAGCATATTTTTGAGTATTTTTCTCACTTCCCCGCCAAGTTTTTCGATCGTCGAATTTGCAATTGTTTTCTGCACAGGGAAACTCAGTTGGTTTTCGAACGAAATGTCATTTTTTTGCCGCCCGAAGTTTCCGCAGGCAAAGGCTTTTTAATTTCGTTGTGAAATGTTCGTTTTCTCTCCAAATGTCGCAGTTCTTTTTTTCCGTATTTTTTTTTTTTATATCCTCTTCTTCTTTCTTCGTTTGTCCGGAAGTTTGAAATGAGATCTTGAGTTTCTATCCGGGAAAGTTAATGGATCGGTGCGGGTCCAATTGTTTTCTTCGTACCGGGTGCCCTAATTATCCGAGTCGGAGTTGAATGACCGAAAATCGGAGCAACATTGCTTCCAATTATTTTATACACTTCATTTTGCCTGTATAAAGGAATTCAAATGAAACAATGTTCAGTGCAGAAGTGGGCAATTTTCCAATGAATTTTCTGCTCTCGATTTTTCAAGTGCATATTTTTAAAGATTGATGAACGATTTGAAAAGGAGAATCGGATTCCATCGGATTTCAAAGACGTTCTATAGTGTTACAGTGTACTTGTGAGGTTTTTCAGTATTTTGTAGCTGAAAAATTGTAGAAAGTAAATCGACTTTTATCCAGGTTGTATTTCTGCCTTAGTGTATGTGCTCTCCTTTCTAGGTGGATTGACATGTACCACTGAACATGATTTTGAGCTATATGAGCAATCATAATACGGATCCGATTTTGCAAAAATTCAACAGCCAACAAAACCTTCGCACAAATCATAATTCTTCATGATTTACCTCATGAAAACATAAAAAGCACATTTTTCTCCATTCCATTCTTTGGCATGCATCTAAAAAGTAAAATGACTTCCATTTGTAAGGTTTTACAATGTGAAAATAAATTTATCAAGCCTTACACCTTGATTGTGAATTTTTGGCAGAGTTTCAAAAGGTCAAGAATTTCAAATTAGAGCAATTTATAGTTGAATAAATCAAACACAGCAATTGGCCGGGCGCGAACCGACCGGGATTTCTCCCACTAGCGCAGACCTTTCTTTCAGACAGGGACAAATACAAGTAATTCACACAGAATTTCGCATATACACACACACACTCATAAAAGAAGGATTTTTCCGAAAAGTTCGACAAAAAGGGGGACTAGAAATATTGAGTCAGGATCTCAAATGAAATTTCTTTGGTTTTATAAGACTCAAGAGAGTACAGAAGGAGTTTCAAATTGGAGAGGAATCCAAGTTTATAAGTTCTTTCGAACTGAAAAGTTTTCTTTGGTTGGTTCTTAGAAAAGAATCTTAAGGGATAGAAAAATAGTTCAAATATCACAAGGTTCCTTTTCACACAACACTCGACAAAAGAAGGTTCCCGAATTTTTCCCAAGTCCGCAGGATTTAGAATTTCAAACAAGTCCGAAAATTTCGTACGCGAAAATTGCCTGGTGGCTCTCTAAATTCAAACTGTGTCTGTTGCGTAAAATTTGGGGGTTATATACGATTTTCTCGCCCGTTTTGGCGGGATTTCTTAACAGAGGCGTCCAGGTGGCAGGAGCCTTTTGGATTCGGGAAAGAAGGCCAGGTGGTGGCAGCTGCTGTCGAGAATCATTTTACAACTCGACGTTGCAAATTTTTAGTACATGTTTTCGGACTTCTTGAACATGTTTTTCTCCCGGTGACGGGGTGTTGGGTTTATTATCTCTCAGTCGTTTTGAGCAGAAAAAACACTGTCTTCAAAAGATCGATTTTCTGGGGGAGTCACAGATTTTTTGGACAGCTCAAATGGTTAGAAGTTGGGAGACAAATTGCTTTTTCGCGGAAGACGATGTGTTTTCGAACATTTGGCCAGCAGCTGGCTGTAATTTCTGCTGTCAAGAATCATTTTACAACTCGACGTTGCGAATTTTTAGTACATGTTTTCGGACTTCGTGAACATGTTTTTCTCCCGGTGACGGGGTGTTGGGTTTATTATCTCTCAGTCGTTTTGGGCAGGAAAAACACTGTCTTCAGAAGATCAATTTTCTGGGGGAGTCACAGATTTTTTGGACAGCTCAAATGGTTAGAAGTTGGGAGACAAATTGCTTTTTCGCGGAAGACGATATGTTTTCGAACATTTGGCCAGCAGCTGGCTGTAATTTTCGTCCCCCAGTTTTATCTTTTTAGTGCAAGGGAATAATTTTCCAAAGAGTGTGCCGATTTTCACAATCGGCTCGAATTGCCCCGGTTCCGGGGACTGGTTTTTATTTTGCACTCTTGTCCTTTTCAGGAGTATTTTGCCGACTTTTACTGTCGACTCGTATTGCCCCGGTTTTTGGGAAACAAATTTTCCTTTCTCTTATCGTTTTCTGCGCATCTCCGGATGCGCGATTAAATTTCAAGTTGCCGTCCTCCCCCTGCTTACGGCGGCACTTGTTGCCGTCAAAAGAAATTTCGTACAACTGGTCCGCGCCTAATGAAACAAATGAAAAAAATGAATACTGTGCTGAACAGGACGCTGTCTGGCGCCACAATTGAATGCACTGTAAATTCATTCATTCCTTATAGCACAAAAATTTCTCTAAATTTCTTTTACTGTCGACTCGTATTGCCCCGGTTTTCGGGAAACGGATTTTCCTTTCTCTTATCGTTTTTTGCGCATCTCGGGATGCGCGATTAAATTTCAAGTCGCCGTCCTCCCCCTGTTTACGGCGGCACTTGTTGCCGTCAAAAGAAATTTCGTACAAAATCCCCCCGCGTCCTTGGGTGACCCCTTTTCCGGAAGGGGATCAGTCAAGGCGACGCAAATAAAAACCCAGCGAAATTTCAACAGTGTTCGTAGTTCGAAAAAGGAGATCGCCATGTGAGGGTCCAGGATTTGAAGTCAGACGTTTTTTCCTGTTTGGCTTCGGATCTTTGGAATCTTCTTCTGCTGGCTTGATTTCCTTCTGTAGAACTGAAAAAAGTGCTCTGTCAGTTTGTTCAAAAGTTTTCGAAATCGGTATTAAAGTTTTTTAGATTTTGCCTGTCCGAATGGGGTAGCTAGTCCCATTCTGACCCGGTTTTTGACTTTGAGTTTTTTAAATTTTAAATGGCCAAGTTATAAGAGAAGTGAGAATTTTT